CGAAGAAAAAAAAAACATGAATTTGGCAACTAGATACACATCAAAGCAATTCTGGCATCACTTACATTTGTAACTGCTTGCGAGTGACTTCGCCAATGCACCGACGAGCGACTTTGTTTACGCTTGCCATTCATAAAATTTGAAGTTTTTTTGTTTGAAAATGAAGTGTTTCCATAAGTTTTGCTCGAACTCCGGAAGGAAGCAGCAGAAAGCGGGATTTTCCAATCTTAGCTTTTTCCGGTTCTCGAAGAAACGGGATTTGAAAAGCGAATGGCTAAGCTTTTGCGGCTTGCCGATGGATTTTCAAGTGGCGGAAACATCACGGCTGTGTAGTGTAAGTTTATTTTTATTTATGTGTCTGGGATTGGTTCTAATTACGAGTCTAATTATGAATATAAATTTCAGCTCCATTTTGATCACAATGATATATTTTTCAAAAATTGGAGGTAAAGTTCTGAAGCAGCTGTCAGCGGTTCCTTTTCACTCATTCGTTGTGAAAATTACTGATATAGTCAGAGATGCCAGGCTTATTTATAAAAAATCTGGCAAAACCCGAAAAAAATGTCTGGCGAAAATCTGGCACAGCAAATTAACATAGGAAGCTGCCAGATTTCTCAAAAAATCTGTCTGGCAGAGCAACAATTTCTCTGGCTGTGCCAGATAAATCTGGCAACCTGGCAACGCTGGATATAGTGCAAGTTTGGGCTTTACTCATAGTCGAAATTGACTTACGGTGTTTAACTGTTTGCGCTAATATAATTATCACATCATTCCATTTTTATTACTGTACGTATCCATTATTGCTGTAAATTATTCCATTTCACATTTAAATATAACAAAAATAATCATGAGTGATTGTTAAGCGATTTTACTACTCCTCCCTAATTGAAGTAAACCATTTGTATACATTGCAGATTGGAACAGCGGTGCCAGATATACATATATGTCTGTATTTATACAAATATTTGATGTTTCGTACATACCCAATACAGACTACAGACATTATACAGATTTTTGAAAATTAATACAGATTTTGTACAGATTTTTACCAGTAGGTTCCTGAAATTAAACATAAAATAAACAAAATTATTTTCGAAATTTGAACAGCTTCAAGCAATTCTGGACTTGAAACCATTGAAAATGCTCCACCCGACTGCTACACACTGGTTGTCATTGGAGCAGGTAGTGAAACGGATGCTAGAAAGACTTCCAGCTCTCAGAGTATATTTAAATTATACTAATTCTAATGTGGACTTGATGCCAAGAAGATGAAAGAAATCAGCGGTATCTTGGAGAACCCCATGACGGATCTTTGCTTGAAGTTTTTGGAATTTGTTCTACCAAAAGTTAACAAACTAAACCGCTTGTTCCAATCGGAAGCGCCTTAAATATTCCGACTCAATTCTGAGCTAGTTCGTTTGCTCAAGGAAATCCTCGATAATTTCATGAGACCAGACTACATTGCAAAGCTTGAAGACCTGGGTTCGTTAATTTTGCACATTTTGCATTTGTGAAACTACTGTGGAAAAGGTTTATATGGGTACTGGCGTACAAAAACATTTGGATGATGTTTTGTCATCCAATAGCATCAAGCTTGAGGATGTTCATCACTTCAGAACAATGGTGATGAACTTCTACATAACGCTTGTAAATCAAATCGGGAAACGTATCATTATGGATGATATGATTCTCGTAAACCATTACCAGGTTTTTGAGGTAGAGCATTTACCCAAAACATCTCAATGTACCCAGTTTTGCGGATGATCTCAAATGTTATCAACGAATTAGAAATGCAAATGGTAGACGACGAATTCCGCGAGGTTAGAAACATGGATTTGCCAATGGATACTAATTTTGATGATGGTGTTGAATTTTGGGGAGTGGTACTGGCCCCCAAACGGGTGAATGGCGAAATCGCTTTTCCTTATCTCAGACGAATTGTGCCAACCCTACTTGCATTGCCACACTCCTCAGCGGTAGTTGAAAGGATGTTTTCGTCGATTACCCTAAACAAAACTAAACTGCGTAACAGGATGGATTCAGCTGAAATCATAAAAACAGCCTTTCGACTATTTTGAAGCAACATAAGACTAAATAATAAAATCTGTTCGGTAAGTTCTGATCATTTCTCAGTTATTTTTATTTGAAATAATAGATTTTCCCTGCTTCTAGCCTAACCAAAAGCCTACATGTTCATTTTTTACGTTGTCACTTAATTCCTATGGTTAGGTACATGGACCTTGAACGGGATTTTTATTTTTTTTAATCAGCAAAATGCTTTTTAAGTTTTGGCTTCGTATTTGTTTACACTAAGAATAAAAATTGGAAAAAATCATCTGGCATCCCTGGATTGGAACCGCTTTTGACAGTTCGTTTGGAATCATAACAGTGTCTCCGCTGGTCTCTTATTCCAGTATTTCTAGGGGAGATCTCCTGTTGAAGAGTAGATACAGAGATCTTAGCTAGATGTTACACTTGGTTTTCGTTTTGTCTACGTGCTCCCTGAAAATCAGCTTGCTGTCTAGTGTTAAGCCGAGGTAGACTACCTCTTTCGACCATTCCACCACTGTGCCGTTTAGGGAGATCTTATTATTCTCCGGCGGAACAAGTCTGAGAAATTTTGAGTGTGGAACGATGATGTCTTTGCCGCGTTGATACGTATCTTCCAGCTGTTATATCAGGGCATCAGAGCACCGCCACGGGAGTCCCCATACGGGTCCCTATCTCTATTTTCGAGCCCCATATAGCAACTTATGCCCGCACCGGTAGTAGCTAAACGGGGTTGGGAAATGAGAACGCAACAAAAATCAAGTTATGAGTTTTCATATTTGGCGCCCCACTAAAACTCTGCACTGGGTCGCTATTTTGTTTGCTTGTGACACTGCTGCTCTGCTTCGCACTTACCAAAGCAAGAGGAAAAAGCTGGACATCCGAAGAAGATACGGCGCTTTGTCTCGCGTGGTTGGATGTGTCCCAGGACCCCATCACAGGAACAAATCAGAAGGCAGAAACATTGTATGGCAGAATCCAGCAAATGTTTGCAGAAATCTGCCGGGAGAAAAACTTTGCTGTTGACGCCGAGCGGCGGGGAATGAAAGGGATAAAGTCCAGGTGGTCAACCATAAACAGAAGCGTGAATAAGTTTGCTGGCTGCCTGGCACAGGTTCAATCCCGGCAACAAAGCGGTGCTTCTCCGGAGGACGTGTTGCAGCAAGCGCTTATGCTGTATAACACCAAGGAAGGAACATCATTCAGTCTGATGCACTGCTTCAAGATTTTGGAGGGTGCTCCAAAATGGATCCAACAAGCCACAGCAAAACAGGTAGGTTTTTCCAGCTTGAATATGTATGTACAAAATGATTTCTTTCATATTTTTGTTCAGAAATCAACAGTAACTGGGAGGCGTAAACGCTCAGCCACTCCTCAAGAAGCGGAAGAGGAGCAAGCAGTTGGATTACCATGTGACGAAGCGGAGAATACTTCCGGAGCTGGATGCTCTCGGCCAATGGGACAGAAAGCAAGCAAAACAGCGGAAGCGTCAAGGAAAAGCTTGGCGGATGCTAGTATGGCAATGGCAGATAATGGGAGAATTTTAGCTGCTTTGACCAAAAAAACTCGAAGACAGCATCCAGAGAACTGTGGCTTACAAGCAAATGGTGAACCATGCTATAATGTCAATCGACTTGGATAAAATGACTGGTATGGCCAGAGAATTCTATATTCTGGAACAAACACGTATCCTCAACGAAACACGAAAAGCTGCTATGGATAATGTGGGACAATTTGGTTGCGGCCAGTCTTATGAAGAGATTCTTTTGGAAGTACCCATCAATGAAGACGACACAGCAATGCCTCCGGGTCCGCAAGTAAATGCCGATTCAAACAGCAACGATGCCACCAAAACCGTTCCAACCCCACCTGCTGATTCTGAGGATGAATATGACGCAGGCTCTATTCATATCCTGGATGCGAGATCAAACGCAGATTCCAACACCGATGAGAGCATCTGGGTTCCCGAGGCGTGTGCCGAGGCGCCATCCAATTCAGAGAATGAGTCTTGCTCCGAAGATAGTTCCATTTTGCCGTCAGATTCCGAATGATTTTTTTTTCTTTGTTTCGTTGTGATGGTTATCACAGTATTTCATGTTAATCATGTGTTTTGGAATGTATGCTTCTTCTTACTTCTTGTTTTATGCTTCCACCATATTAGTGATACAAATTTACCTTTGAAATCATGGAAATCAGCAATGTACGGTATTGAGAGATGTCTGGGCTGGGGGATATCCCCTATCTAACTTAATCATTTTACGTAACAAAGCATTACGAACATCACCAGTCTCATTGTGTCCCTACTTGATCATTCTGGTTCCCAGAATACAGAACGAACCCAAGGGGGCATCCATTGATTACATCTCACTCTAAGGGAAGAAGAGGGCTTAGAAATATATGACAAGCAATGCATAAAATATAACAAAAACGTAACGAATGGCAGAGGGGGATTAATTTTACCTCAATCTCGCATGACGCAATTAATGGATGCTCCTCAATACATTCGACACTTTAATACTGAAGCCACAATCAATTAGGGAGGATATCGAGTTAAGCTGAGTTGAGACAAGGCATGTCAATTGATCAACTCAGTTGAATTCAATTGGCTTGAAAAGTTGAGCCTGGTTCAACTTTTTTCAATGAATGGCATGGTTTACACGTTCAATTCGCATTCAAGTCAGTTGAATTCAACTGACTTGCCCTATCTAAACTCAGCTTTACGGAAGATGTAATGTTATAGAAAATGAACTTGAACCTGGCAGGGACGATACCATCTTCAAGAGTACATGCTCATACTTTGCCAAGTTTAATAACCCCATATTCATTATCGAGTTTGGGAGACCAGACTGTAGTGGTATTTATCAATCCACATTGCTTTATTTTTACCAGAATTTATACTCTAGCTGTAGTGTAGATTACTGGAATATATTTGAAACCTGAAAATTCATCACTTAATCTTCTTCCTCATCTTCTTCTCCTTTCATTGCCCATAGATGCTCTATTAGGTCATTCCTCAATTGAAAGTGCTGGTTAGTATCATGAACAGCTTTGTACCGCGACAAAAATGTCTCAAATTTCTCCTGATTTTCTGGACCTATCCGATGGATGTCAGCTGTAATTTCATCAATGTTGCTTTCAGGGTTCGCTTCACAGATCGTTGGATCATCTTTTTCATTTTCAATGATCATGTTATGGATAATAATGCAAGCTGAAATTATTGATTCCAAGACATCTTTTTGCCAGAGCCTAGCCGGTGTTTTAATGATTGCGAACCGCGACATCAATACACCAAACGCTCGCTCGACATCCTTCCGGGCAGACTCCTGCATTTGTGCGTAGTGCTAAGAATATGAGAAAATAACATGTATCAGATGTATCAGAGTCTAATTTTTCTTTGATAAAATTATATTAAAAAAATCCTTGTTACCTTCTTTTTTAGTCCAACTGGAGAAGAAATTGTCTGTACCAATGTTGCTAGTGGTGGGTAAATACCATCTGCAAGATAGTAGCCAACGCTGTATTGTCGCCCGTTTACTGTGTATTTAGCAAGTGGAGCTCTGCCATTGTATATCTCCGAGAATAATGGAGAGCTGGCATCACAAAAAAGGCATGCCAGATCCAAAGATCGTAACTTGCTACTGCTTCCAGGACGATTGTTGGTTTTTTCTCTTTTCCGCGAAACTGGCCGGCCCATGCTGTAGGGCAATTCTTCCATGTCCAATGGCAGCAGTCTAAGGATCCTAGCATTCCAGGAAATCCACGACTCTTTCCAACACGCAACAACCTCTCCACATCGTCAGGTTTTGGGTAGCGTAGGTACTCGGGGCCGTAAATACGAACAGTGGTTTCACAAAACTCCACAAGAGATTTCAGCGCTGTTGTCTCTGCCATCCTGATGTATTCATCTACAGCATCCGCTGGCATGCCATATGCAAGCTGACGGATTGCGGCGGTGCCTTTTTGAAGGCCAGTTAATCCTAGTTTACCAGCCGCATCTCGCATTTGCACGAAGTAAGGATTCGCGGCTTCTATTTCTGCAACAATCTTTGTAAACAAGTTTCGGGACATTCGAAACCGCCGCCGAAACTGTGAATCACTATACGTGGGATTCTCGGAGAAGTAATCATGAAACAGTCGCTCAGCTCCTAGATGAGCACCTCTGTTGATATTCGGTTTTTTTCCAGGCCGAGATCCTCCAGCTCGATTTTTCTCGTCTTCTTCCAAAGCCCTTAACAACAGTTCATGTGACTGGTAAACATAATGATTTACAACTTCAATGTCTTCCTCGTCGCTTAAAACGATGGAATCAGCTGCTCCCGGGAAACAATCTGCCGTCAATGCATTTGGAATATTCATGATATAACTACACAACTATTGCACATCGATCGACTGATAAAAATGAAATATTACATCAATATGACGATGTTCTTCGTGGGTATGTATATTGTTTTGAGTTTTAGCAATACACGATGAAAAGACATTACTCAAGTCACTAAACTCAAAATATGCATTACCGGTGGAAGAATGGGGTGCTAAGCTAAAATAGCTACCTAGATGGAGCCTTATTATAGGGATAGAGATAGCGCCTCCCGTGGCGGTGCTCTCACGGTTCAATTGTCCTTTATATAAACGTCATTGATCACGGTCCCTGCACCATTGAAAGTGCGCAGGGCTCATGACAAAGTGAGTGCGATTTGCAATATCTGAAAAATAAAAACCGTGTTGATAAAAAAGAGCAAATCCCTGGTTGCGCTTCTTTCGGATACTGCCATCAATGAAACACAGCACAGTTTTCACATAAAATACTCCTGCGGTATTTTTCAATTTTCGTTTCTTTATTTCTGAATATATTTTACATTTGAAACGATACAAGATATTTCCTACAAAAAAAAAGTTCATTCTCGTTACAGTTCTCCTCAATGCTCTTCAATTTGTATCTTTTCTTTTCGTTTCATACACAATAACCTTTGTCGAATAGTTTCTTGCTTCCATCTTTAAAGTTCCAGCACTCGGAGCTGCGAACATCTTACGCACGCGCTCGCGCTCGCGATCAAAAAAAAACTTCATATTTGTATAGTTTTGTTCACCTAACAACTAACAGCGCTTAAAAGTGATAAATTAAGGTTCTACCTACGGGCTAGGGTTGGGTCTATTCTTTCTTGTTTCGGTTTCGTCGTTCAAGATTAACAGAAATACGCATCTTCGCACCCAGGAGCAAGTGCGCACTTCTAGGAGCCACATGCACCAGCATGGAGTTTGGTTTTTTTTTTTTAGATTTTTGTGCTGATTTCAAATCGGGGCAGACTTTTTCGTTGTTTACGCGATTTTCGTTACTCCGACATTTGCTTATATAATATTAGAAAAGTTGGTTCGTTTTTTGTGTTTTAAGAATAATCGTTACATATTTACAGGTCGGGTTTTGTTGCTCATGGATAAGTACAAAAGAAATAACAAGATTTCAAGAGTTAACAATAAGGCTTCTTGTGGATTTTATTGGATTGCTCGTTTGGCGGAGGCAGTATAGCAGTCATGTTAGTATACATACGATACGTACTCTTATTTACAACAAAATAATTCCGAAATCAACTTTCAGGGCAGTTTTCAGTTGAAAGTATTTTGACTTTTGTGCTTTTGTGTGTTTTTCCGTTTGATCTGTTCGGTGGTAATTTTTCTGGATCATTTTTTTTTTCAACGCAATAACAAAATTTGCTAACGGTTGCTGTGTCGCGGTTCGATTGGATTGGATTGGATTGGGCTGTGAGTGCACAGCATGTTGCCTACAGTTAGGCTTGACGATCACGTTCTCTGTGGTGAGATCTGGTTAAAGAGTGATCATCATTTTGGTTCTTGAGGGGCTAAGATTGGGCGTTTCGTTCGTCCGATTGGGACTTACAGTAGGCGATCGCGCGAAGTGATAGACTTACAAACTGCGTTCTGAACGTTTTAGGGTTTACGAATTATGGCAATGCTTCTTACGATGACACTCTGCGCTTGAAAGCGCAGTGTGTGTGTCAACTTTTTTTTTTAACATTTGTTTATAGGAATGTCACGATTAGTTGTTTGCAGCGAAACTAAGATGAGTCTGGTTCGAAATGTATGGAATTTTCCAAAACAATTGATTTTTTATAGAACGTACATTAGTTCAAATTTTCAAGATCACAGATCATTGGTTGAATTTCGAACTCATCTTTCGACGACTGATTTCCTATCGAAGTTCATGCCGTTATAGTTTCGCTTTTGTTGCTTCTTTTTTTCTCAATGTGGAAATGTTTCGTCAATAATTCGAACAAGTCGCAATTATTGTGCATCTTTTCAACTCTTAAACCTACCATGAAATGTGATGCAATTTCTCAAAAATTGCGTCACTCTGCTTAAGAACTACAAAAAAATAATACGAAACAACTATTCTGTAGAAGTAAATAGTTTCTTCGCCTATTTGCACAATTTTATATCACAATTGTATTTTGAATGTTTATTCTGCTTTCTGCATAATTTAACGTCTTGCTTTGTTTAGGTGTGGTCTTTTGCGCGCTAGTGTCAATTAGTAGCTGAAGAGAAATGAGACTTGTTTCTATCGTAGACGAATGATGGATTACTTGATAGTCAAAACGTGGTTTGCTGTCACTTTCTTCATAGAAGAAGAAAATACAAAACAAGTAAACTAACGGTGCGGTTGTGGGAGGGTATGGGTTAAAGGGGTGGACTTGAAGGTGGCAGACTACGTTGAAATTACTAAAAAAGCAGCATTTGGAGTCCAGCAGAACTCAGGTCAGTCTCCTTGGCGCCTGTCTTGTTAGAATCTAAAGCCTACTGTTCCAGGGATGTGGGGGCTGGAGATGCACTGCGCTGCCTACTATTCCGATTGTTTTTTTATGGTTGGTAAAAAACAAAACTCTTCCATTATTGGTCGGTCTACTACTGCTGATTGCTGACGATTTCCTGCTGCTGCAGTTGCTCCTTTAGGTGTTGTAATCGCTTCCGTTTGATGGCATTCATGAAATTCTTGTATCGGCTGTCCTCATCATCCACTGCTGGTTGGAAATTTATGAAAAGAACGGAAAATAGAGATAATTAGAGAAGTCGGTTAACGGTCGGAATCGGGTTCCTCTAAATGAGAGTAAATGCTGGTTTTAATAGCGGCGTAAACAACGAGCGAATAGTGTACAGGGTATATTATAATGAAAAAAAAAAGTGGTTTTCAGGAAAACTAAAAGGTATGACAAGATGACTACTGACTTGGCTACTTGCAGAGAGAAAGAGTTGGTGTATGTTTGCTAATGAGTAGTGAATGAAAATGTCAATTGGGCTACAGCTACGGTTCTACTGAATTTCTGGTTGTGAAAGGTTCGAGAAGATCGAACTAGAAGCGAAGTGGTTTACTGTATAGGTTCTAGAAGTGAATATTTGGAATCTACGCTAAGAAATTATGGTTTTGGGAAGAACAATGATGTGCAATATTATTGCAACTTAGTATGCTTTCATGCATCGGTTGTTTGATACAGGGTTTTAAATGTTGTGGTATTAATCTAAACATAAATATTTTACATTGATACATAGGCTAGATTATTTTTTCATTATAACATTGAATGCAGGCCTTATTTTATACAGCTTTGAGATATTTTACAAATATATATTTTACAGTATTGATATTTGACCTAAAGCTTATAAATTTCCATTGATGTTTTACAATCAGTGTGAACTTTTGTCGATTTAAAATATAATTATAACAGCTTTACTATCTATGGAAGAATAATTGATCCATGTTACATGGATGTACCAGTATCATAGAACATAGGACATTTATGCACCCACCGGCAGCTCATACATTATGTAGATCGTATGTGTTGTCAAGAAAATTGGAAGTGATGAATCATACAGTCCTAACCCATTATATGGTAGTGGCAACTATATCGTCTCCAGAAATTTTTGTTTAAAATATGTTTATATATTGTTTTGTTGCCTGATGCTAATTGCTCAAGTTTGTAGGCAAACCAACATTGTTTAATATTTCAATACAGATTTTCTAGATTTCTTATCGTTGCTTAGCAGAATGAGAATTTAGCAAGAGAGATGCATTTAGAGCCTGAAATTGAAAAAGTGTCTTCTACAAAATTGTTCCTTACAGAACATCTCTCATTTTGATGTCAAGGGTGGTTCTTATTATCATAGAAATAAAAATGGAGAGGTTGTGTACAATACGCGACTGCATGGTTGACGCAGACTACATTAAGCTATTTAGTGCATTGTTCGTACATTTTGCTTTATATTGATTTAAAATACAGTAGAAGTAACCTATTAAATCGGTCCTTTGTACATCTTTTGAATTTCATACTTAGTTAAACTTGGCCAAATTCAGGACCTCATAAAAATGCGAATGCATAGTATACAAAATTTGGTTCCTAAATTGCAATCAGATATATCAGAATATTAAAATAGGAACATATGTAGAATTATAAACAGATCGAAGTGTGCGGTGTTCGAAGACGGAAGTGACTTTTTTCTCTCGTCAAATATATTGATTTTGTTCTGTTTTTCGTGTTTCGGGTAGTTTCGGTTGGAGTTTAGTACGATTTTACACAGAAAGTTTTCAAGAATCGCCAATGACGATGAAAGGTTTGCTAAATCTGTAAAATTTTGAAACTGGCTAGAAACTCAACCCAATGGAATCCCATGAATTTACCATAAAGGAATTCAAATAGAGCAAGAAGCAGCTTTCAACATCACAAAATTAGTGAAAGCTATCCATTTTTATTTATTAAAACACTCACACATGCATATACACACATTTACTTTATTTTGAGACATAAATACAGCATAACAATGCTATCGTTAATCTGCCATCAACGTTTACCGAACGTATGGCCTTACCCTCCCCACTAAGAAACCTCCAAACTCCTGTGACACTTATGAGCGGTCGTAGAGTTCTCTGCATCTCTCTTAAGTAAGTGTCCAACTAAAAATCCTTCCCATCCCTAGCAGTTGCAAGGCCGTGGCCAGGACAGTTCTCGATTATTAGAGATACTGCTACTTTCATCTTAGAGATCAATCCCATATCTCGGTCAATACGGTAACTGACGGAGGTGGTAGTACTAACATAAAATGGTCTAGGACTTGTACCACCTACGAATTCTTAACAACTTTCTTAATGCTAATGCTAACATTTGTCGAAATATAAACAAGTTTACTACCTTAATTTTTGATTTCTGGAGGGATTTTCTTGGGAATTATTATTTAAAAAACAAGAAGTGCGATAAAACAATTCCCGAAAAATACGTTAATTTTTTCAGCAGCTCCATCATTAGTTTAAAATTAGGCCACTGAAGCAAAGCAGAGAGTGAGGCTTGCTTTATATGATAACGCAACAGGCAGTTGTGATTTTCTTATCAGAAGATGGTTCTTTTATATGTCAGCAAAGTAGACGAAAAAGGGGTATAACGATCATGTTATCCAATTTGGAGGACAACTCTAATAAAAAAAAACTATCGCGCATCATGAATATGTACTATAGTATATGCAAGAATATGTAGCCCAGTCTCCCACCCCCATCAACAAGAAATCCGGGAAATTTTAATCGAGGCGGGGCATCAGTGATGGGAAAAATCCAAAATCAGGAACGACCGAAAATCACTGCTGATCTTGAAATCACAAACAGAAAACCTTGGCTTATTTTATCATAGCTGATCTTGAGAGTAGCAAAATCACAAAGCACAAAATCAAGGCTGATTTTAACCTTTGCTGATTTTGAGGCAACAAAATCACCAAACGGAAAATCAATATCTTGGTATTGCAGTCAAAGTACGAAACCGACAACCGCCACCATTTTGAAGTCCAAGACGGCGGACCAAAATGCAATATGACGGCCTCCGGACAGCGTATATGCATCTAATCCCATGGATATCTATGGAATAGGCTCAATAAGTAGAAGTGGAAAATATACATCCGCCGCTATTTTGTAATCCAAGACGGCGAACCAAAATGGGCTCGATGAGTAGAAGAGGAAAATATACATCCGCCGCCATTTTGTAATCCAAGACGGCGGACCAAAAGGCCTCCGGACAGCGTATATGCATCTAAACCCATGCTAAATATATGGGTATCTACGAAATAGAGCCTGCATATACGCTGCCCGGAGGCCGCCATATTGGACTTTGGTCCACCATCTTCGATTCCAAAATGTCTGCGGATGTCGATGTTCCACTTCTACTCATCCGATGATGATGAGACGATGAGTAGCAGTGAAAAATCGTCATCCGCAGACATTTTTGAATCGAAGATGGTGGACCAAAGTCCAATCTGGCGGCCTCCGGACAGCGTATATGCATCGGTCCGGAGGCTGCCATATTGCATTTTGGTCCGCCATCTTGGATTTGTGGAAGCCATCTTGGGTTGAAATCCATCTATTTAATATCACCCGGAATGCTGACTTGAATTTCGGAATGTCCCAGACTCTAGAATTTAACATATATTATAATCGTATGATTTTCGATGATTTTGATCTTGGTTGATGTTGATGCTGATTGATTTTGGGAATCGAAAATCACAACTGATATTGGTAGAAAATCACGGGTGATTTTAGTGGTGATGCTGGCTTGTTATATTGGAGCTTGTGATTTTAGGTGATATTGATCTTTTTTCCTTGATTTGTTTTCCGTGCTGAGCACCAATGCTGCCAACAACAGGGAGGCAGCTCCCATACCTGGACCCTACCTATCGATCCATTAACTCATGAACCGGGGACCAACGGCTTTCCATCCCCGTGATGTCATGCCTCAGAACATCCCGGCGGTGCCGACTGGGATTGAACCCAGGCCTGCTGGGGTGAGAGGTATTCATGCTTACCACTACACTATATTGATCTTGAAAGATAACTGATTTTGATTTTCTGATTTTGATTTTAGCCAACACTGTGGACTGATCGATGCTAATCTAATAGCATAGATAGAGGTTTTCCCACCACAGAAACAAAACGTTTTCTTATGCAAAATGATCGGTCTGCGTTCACAAATCGCACGAAATCCTAAAACAAGCAATATTTAGTGAACATATCTTACTCAATAGGTTTTTAAAAGATTTAGCGAGAATTTATTGGAGGCATTGTAAGCAAAAAATTTCTGACCACAAGATATTCGCGATCAATTACGAAATTTCTCATAAAATAGGTGCAAAATTGTACACCCCATTTTGTGTGTGCTTTTTCAAAGTCCTACCTTAACTACTTTGAAAATTTACTCAAAACCCTTCACAGGATTTTATTAGAATGTTCTCAAGCATTTCCTTAAGGTGATTCTCTAAGGAAGCCTTAGCGTGAAACTTTAAAGGCACAACTGGCAGCTTCCACAAAACATCTTCTTGTTCTTCTTCGCATTTGAAGCTTATTGCTTATCGCATATTTAGCTTATTGCGTGCTCTCAACTTAGTGTTCTAGATGCACTTCCACAGTTATTAATTGAGAGCTTTCAATGCCTGTACCATTTTTGCATTGGTATAATTATGTGGCAAGTCCAATCATACTTCTATGCCCAGGGAAGTCGAGACATTTTCCAATCCGAAAAATTCCTAGACCGGACCGGAAATCGAACCCAGCCACCTCCAGCATGGTCTTGCTTTGTAGCTGCGCCTTTACCGACTGAGCTAAGGGAGGTCCCTGTGCTACTACAAACAGAGAGTAGCAATTTCAAATTTGTATGTTTTGTGGAAGCTGACATTTGTGCCTTTGAAGTTTCACGCTAAGGCTTCCTTAGATTATCGCCTTAAGAATCATTTTCCTTCATATTCATATTCAAAAAAACATTTAATTCATTCTTAGATTTTCTTCAAAGCTTCCTTCCATAATTCTATTTAAAATTCACTTGAATTCTCTTTAGAATTCCGAAGCAATTCACCTGAGTATTGTCAGTGTTTACTTGGATGTCGACAGAAGCAGACTACTCTCAATGTTGTCACGCGGTTGTCTGTTTACTCGTCAGCAACCATTGTATGGTCTTCCTCATTGTTCTTTATCAGCAGTTCTTTCAGTCGATGCGTCGTCGGC